TGCCATGTTGACATGCTAAGAGGGTCTTTTCTTGGTATTTATTTATTTATTTTGCTTTCCTGCATTTAGCATGATCCAAATGATTTACTCTCATGTTTTTAGTGCTGAACTAATTAAAGGAAAACGCCCCTAATGCAACCATTCTATTTCTTCCTGTGAAATATCTGCCAACAATTGAATTGTTTTACAATTTAGCTCAGCACAGCAAAGAAGAAACAAGGTACATTATACACTGAAAAGGCCTTTAGTTGGTAAGAAACAATGAGAAATTAAATCACTAAATTGCTTCATAAATGTTGCTCAACGCCGAAAGATTTTTAGACGAAGAAATTCCAAGGTATTTTTCATTGAAAAAATAAATTGGTGTTCTTTCCTATATACACAACTTTTATTTTTAAAAATTTGTCCTTGGGTGTCATAGTCTTAGATATGAGTGATTAACGCAGCAAATAAAGGTACAAGGTTTTTCTGCTTTATTGTCTAGAGGACAATTTGTAGTTGTCTTGCCCCTACTGAGGAATAAATATCTGACAAACGGGAAGTGTTTTTCACAACCGATTCCTAGAAAACCAAAGTTGTGCAGTAATACTTCCATCTCAATGTTGCTTTATGAGATGAATTCTGTTCACTTTAAGAAGTATTGCTTTCATGGTGAAGTGGTATCTCAGGTCTCCATGCATAAAATACATCAAATGATGAAGCAGAAGAGAAAGATTCTATATTGTGGAAGGATTTTGCACACAGAGCTTTACTATGGTGCACAGTTGCTTTTAACTATTTTAAATAGTTAAATATGATCCTGTGCCACCCAAATACTGAGAAAGTATATAGGTTAATTCGGAAATTATTCAGGTGAACTATATTAATTTTGAAGTAGTATACGTATTTTTTAAAATAAATTACAGTTTTCAGTGTAATGTTAGTGAAATTTGAGTATTCAGTGTGTCAGTTTTCTATTTCACAATTATATACCTGGATATTTCCATATTTAAGATCTGTAAACCTGAGGAGACGGGGGCTAAACGTTGAGTACATAATTAATAAAGGTGAGTAATTCAACAATGGTCATTGATAATACATTTTTCCACTTCATCAGCTCAATCTGCTTCTGTCTACATTATAGCCTGAGCACTGAGAAAATTTTCCATCAGGAAAATAATTTTTATACAACATTTTCTCTGATGGAAATTTATTTATGTGTTAACAGAGATGACATGTCTTCTCACTTCCATTTTTCATAGATAAAGTGTTCCTTATGTTTTATATCCCATCATTATTAGATAGAGTATATATATTAGTATATTAGGCCACATGTTTTATTGGAAATTATATATTATCATTACAAAGTTCTTAAAACTTCATCATTTGTGGTGGCTTAATGGGTAAAATATATAAAAGAAAAATTATGCAGATTTATTAATGCTAAATATTAAACAAAACTCATCAGAAAATAATTTAGCTATTGAATTTAAGCCATGAAAGATAGTTTAAAGTCTACTTAAGGTTTTTCTGTGTCTTTTATCTCACAAAAGAAGATTTGGGTCTGACAAAAAATAATGGCAAAGAACCAATTACACAAGTGCCTAAAATAAGAAAAAAGTTCTAAATTTTAATTCAAAAGTAAGTATTTGCACATCTTTTACAGTTAGATATACAGTTTAAATATGAGTTTACAGCCAGTACTTTCTAAAATCCCACTGAATTGTCATAAATACATTAAAAAATTGTAAATCCGCAGAAAAAATGTGAGACTAAAGATAGCACAAAAGTATAGATGTCAACAAAATTAAAAAAAATAATTTGATGAATCATTATTGAATTAGCAAAAGCTAAAAAGCTGACGATTTACAAGGCACAGAGACAAGAGCCACATAAAACAAATTGATGTGCACCTCATAATGGACCCAGAGAAAAATTAGGCATTGGATGAAAATAGATTGAGTATAGTTTGAGAAACAAATTACCCATATGTCACCCAATCCACGAAACCAGGTAGCATCGCTTTTATATTCTTGTAGGGGCAAAGGAGGCCTTTGGGCTAGAGACTTTGAATAAATAGGCTTAGATCTCTTGCTCTAAGATACTATTGCAGGAAGGATTTGTTTTTCTACAGAAACCTATAAGCCTGAGGGATAAGGGAGAATCCATCTGAGAGGACTCTTCCATCTTCTTTAATTAGATAGGAGAACCCTGACAGTGAAGTTTATTTCCACTGTCCTGCCCTGAACCCATGAACACCCCCCCCACACACACACAATCAATGACACCAGTAGAATATTGGTGACCGCAAGAAATAGGTAATCAATGGATTGGTTCACACTAGCTTTTCTTACTCTAAGCCTCAAACAACTAATCATATCTACACAAAGTGCCATCCATTCATCTTGCAGGCTACCACAGAATGAAATGAAATGTCTTAAATTGAGAGAAATTTACTTTCTTCGGGTCTAGAAGCTGAGGTGTCCACAGGCCCTTCTCCATGCAAGGCCCTGAAAAAGAAGCTTCCTCACCTCTTCCTCCCTTCCGGGATGGCCGGAAGTCCTGGCCTTTTTCTGCTATTCCGAGGCCGCCATTGTATACGTTCCTTCCTTTGTGTGTCACTGGGCCTGGGCCCCCTCTTTACAGGATCATAGTACTTACAGCTTACTCTAATCCTCATACTTACTTTCGAATTTCATTTCTCAAAAACTCTGTTTGCACATGAAATCACATTGTGAGTCTAGATGAACATGAATTTTGAGAAGGCATTATTCCAACTGGTAGGGAGACCCTAGATTTCACTGATTTAAATGTGAATAGACGGTGGCATTGATATTTGTTTCTCACCTAATCTTCTTTTGCTAGTGGAGTAAGACAATCTGATTCACAGAAACAGATTCATACAAAGAAAGAGAAATGATTTCTAAGCATAAAAAGAACTAAAACTGGGAAAAAGAAATATATGCTAACTTTTTGTTCTATAAAGTTTTGTATCTTGAATATATTTTGCTTCGATTAATAACACAAAGTATGAGCATTACAAATATTTTTGAAAAATTTGACCAATATTAACTGAAATTTATACTTATCAAGAATTGGTAGCATTTTCATGTTTTATATGAGAAAGACACCTCAGATATGTTGATGATTTATATTCTTCAAACACAAAATTTTTTTATAATAGCAGAGAGAAATGTATTAAAAACATTATTTCAACCACATAAGTAGACATTTTTTAGTTATATGAAGACTTCTGCTCTGCTGTAGATTTAAGGAACAGATTTTTTGAAAATAGGGTTACCCTGTTATTTAATGTTTATTTTCATGAAAAAAATATGTATTTTATTTACCACAAAGACATCAATGAAAACAGTAAATGCAAAAAACATGCATTTACAGGTGTTTTTGAATAATTTATTTTTGTGGAAGATAAAAGAAACTCTATGGATTGTTCTTTCTTTTGTTGTGCTAAAAACTTAAATTCAAATGTACCGTATCCATGTTTGACATTCATTAGTTTTAGTTCTTTTCAATGTGATTTTTGTAGTACTTTATATTTCGTATTTATATCTATATGTTCTACATATGAAAGTGCAATGTTTAAGAAAGTAGTTTTCATGTAACTCAGGCTCATAATACATGGAATATTTAACAAACTGTTTAATCTCATGCCTCTATTTTCATTTGAAGAAGAGTAATAGTGTCTACTTTATTAGATTATTGTGAGAATTAAATGAAATAACATGCCAGCGGTAACACCATGCCAGAAATACCTTTTCATGTATTTATTCATGTGTTCTCTACTTACTATGTAAATATATGTATCACTGCTTATGTTTTAATTTTGAAGTACATTGTTAACTGAACAAGTACAAAATATGATACAATAAACTGTAGGATTAGCCAATACCCAATAAATGGGAATGCATTTACTAAAACTGTAACCAGCTACAGAGATAAATTATGCTTTTTAAGGATCCAGGTAGGAATAGGTAGCCATGAAATCATTCAATTTTGCTAGCCTTAAGAAAAGAGAAAACATTATTAAGAAATATCATGTGCATGTATCAACTCTTTACAATAATTGCAGCATTATGTATTGAGAATATGTATTAATAAATAGGCATATTTTGTCAGCCTTAAATGAATCTCAATACTTTTCTGCACACATGTACACTTTGTAGGTCTCTCTTGGATGTTGAATGAACTGCTGTGTCTCCTGTATACTAGATATGCGCTGAACTCTTAACTCAGACCATAAACTTATCACATCTGAAGATGACTGCTCAAACAGTGAAACAAATGAAAATTTTGACTAAAATAACTGCAATGTTCTGTAACTAGACTGATGGACCTTCCCTTCGCATTCATGCACGATTGCAACTTAATTGTGAGTCATCAGAGACAAAATTTATTATCTATTCACCCTGGTATTCATCAAAATCATGAAGACTGTTTTTAACTCAAAATACATTCTCTGAAACTGAAATCAGTTCTGAAGATACTGTCTTTAGTCACTGGTATTATACTAATCAGAAATTTTCACTTTTCTTACTTTTTAATTTTTTTTTATTTTAAAGAGGATAAAATAGAATTAAACCAATCAAAACAAACCAGTATAAAAGATATAGGGCTTCAAAACATTATGGAATGAATAATAGTTATAGTAATGCTTTTTTATGTCTTTAAAATAGTGGCAGATAATTTCAGACATAGCAAAAACATTAGAACAGAATATAATAGAAACAATAAAAACAAAAGAATGAATACAATAAAAGACTTTAAAACAAGCCTGTAGTAAATCCAAAATCGTTGCCATAATATATCTTGCTGTCTTTGAAACAGCTGTTCCTGCCATCGGATTTGACATAATCAAACAAAACAAAAGAGAATAAAAGCCAACCCAACAAACAATGCAAACTATATAGGGCTTCCAAAACAAGACCACAGGGAATCAACAATGGTTGATTGTTGGAGAACATCCCTCCTAGATGTAACACTGTGTACTATTATCCTTTGAACCTACGATCAGTCCACTGGCCCTAGACCTGCAATGTTAGTGAAGCAACAAAGCACTATAGATAACCAATTGCCTCTCACCGCCATAGCTGTCATCACAGCCTGTGTCTCTCAGGGTAAGCCTGTCACTTATGGCAGAGGTGTGGGGTGGGATGGTGGGGTGTTGGTACTTCTTGTTTGCCAGCCCACACATTGGAAGGGGCTGGAGTCTGTCTCTTCCAGTCTGGCGGTGGCCCACACATGGTGCTGGTTCCAAGACTGGGCTAGCTTGCTGGTGTGACTTTGTTTCACTTTTGTTACTTAATAAAAGAATTAAACAGTATAATTGATAATTTCCCTGTCTTGTTGTACCAAACTGTACCAAATATTTATCTTTATATCAGTCTCCTTTACGTGCAGTTAGAATTTTCTCGTAGATGGCAGAGTGTGTTGTATCATTTTGTTTATAGTGACTTCTTGGTGCATTTATACTTTCAGCAAGTGATTGTTCAATAAAAATGGCCTATAGATTCAAAAGCTTCGTTTTTATTCTGTCTTTTATATACATTATAGTAATTTTATGCATTAACTATACCCTGCCTATTTTAATTGTTGAGTGGTAGTTATTTTCTCCTGAAACATTTGGGGATGCATGCATAATTAGAGAAATATATTTTTATGAGGTTGGCTGGATAAGTTATTAAGCAAGATTTTCCACACACCTGTACAAACTCATTTGAAAGCAGAAGATATAGAGTTGTTTGACTAGTAGAGAAGCACCATGGTGATAAAACAAAAAATATTTCCATTATATTTTTATTTCCAGATGGCACTTTGTTACAAAAGTTGAGTAAAACTAAATTATTGTATACATGTGTGTTCTTTAAAAATAGAGCTACATAAAAATACTTCTAAAATTCAGAGGACTGAGTTTGCACTTTTCAAATTACACAATTAACAGTTGAGTCAAATTAAGTATCAGTGATCTCATTTTCTTTTGGCTTCACAGAAAATCGGAGCTTAATTTACAAGGAGTCAATTGTCTAGTTCAGCATAAATTCTAATTTTCAAGTCGAAATGATTGAACTGTTTAACAGAAGAAAATTCCTCTGAGAATACAAAAATGTTTGTAGGTTAGTCAATATCAACTACTTCAAAGGATTATGTAAAAGACATTTATAGGGATAGCCCAGAAAATTAGGGAGATGAAAGAATGTGTTTCCTAAGAAAAAAAGAATAGTATTTCTTGTATTATTTTTATTGGTTACAATATCCTTTTCCTATCACTGTATGGTGTATTAGCCTCCTAACTGCTGTCACAGAAACCTTACTATTTCAGTGTGCTGAGCCAATAGATACGTTTTCTTGATCATGTGACAGTCCAGTCTGGGAACTCCTAGCTGCTGATCAGCTTACCATCTCATGGCTGATTTCAGGCTCCGCCTCCTTCCACCTGGCTCATTCCTGTCCCCCAGGTTTCAGAGTCTACTGGATTTAACTGGAGGATGGGAAAATCCAGAACATATAGAAATACACAAATAGTTCCACAAAGCTCCAAAGCACTGTAAGGCATAGTCCCAGGCAAAGCCACTATATCTGAATCACTGATCCACACCAAAAGAGACACAAATTTATGGTGGAAAATAAATGATCACTTTTTCACTTATTTAGGACTATTCTCATGCAGTAAATTAAGTCATCACTGTATCTATGCTTGTGTTGTTTTCACGATTTTCACCTGAAATTGCATCATGGTATAAATAGCATGTTTTTCTATAAGAAAAAGTCCTTGTAGAAAACCAATATCATGAAGACACTTTATAGCTGAATGTTTAAAAGATAAAATATTTGTATAAATTAAAGATTGGAAATTTCTGTTTCACATTCCTTTTTATAATAACAAAATACCTATTTACAGAAAGAGTGTTTGGTAATATCTGTAATATATGTGGTGGTATTCATTTGGCATTTTCAGTTCTTAAATACAATATATTCATTTTCATTTCCTTGATTTCTTTCTTTTTGGGACATTAAGTTTCAAGACTATAACAGAGCCTAATATTCTTTATTTGGTGTGAAATACTACAGCACATTTGAATCCTAATTATGACTGTTGCATTTTGGGGGACAGAAAAGGTCATCATTTTCTCATTTGTTTAGTTCTAAAACTGTGGTCACATTTGTAGTATAAAAAGAGATTCATATTAAAGCATTTATAATGCTGCTAGTCTCGGAGTGAGACCAAATAAATCTAAGCTCTCATGCTTAATAAGAACAATAATGTCAGTCTTTGTGATCTGCAAAAATTGATAGATTTTAAAAAAATCATTTCCTACTACTCAAGAGGTAAAGGGAAGAAACTTTATTACACATCCTTCATTCAGTCTTTGTCTTAGAAATCCATCTGTCCTCAACGACCTCCTGTTATGGGAAGTGCCTGCCATGTTTTGGGACAATAGTCCACCATTCAATAGTTTATATTACAAAAACTGGAATAATCTTTAGCAGCCATACTAGGGCATATTCAAGGGTAAGCCAATTGGAATGCAGATGGCCACTACTGGACAGGCACTGAACCTTTGATTTCCAGGGTTCCTACATTGCTGCTTTGGCTCTGAATCACCATAGATATTTAGGTATGTCCTGCTAGGGAGCAGGTGAGTACATGCTGAGCAAATAGCCTAGGTAGCAGGTTCTTGATGTCATTCATCTAGGATTTCTGAGGCTAAGTATGAAGTGGAAACATCACAGTTCCTTTCTGTGGTGTATGGGGAAGTCAGCAGTGGTACCTGACAATCGAGCCCTTTGTAGGCTTTGTCTTGCATTATATTTTTACTTGTCAAATCATGTCAAATTTTGGGAACAAAAAAGAGTTTAGAGAGGAGAAAGCAACATATACCAGCAATAAATATTTTAACAAGTGCCACCATTATGTCTATGTGTCAGCTCCATTTATTGGCAGACTCAAGTCAAATGCAAATAATAATGAGTTTTGTTCTTGCTTAGCAATATTTATTTGATTTTCTGTTACTGAATTTTGCATTATATTTTACTCATTTATCATAGGCTTTTGCACTAGTATTATACTACTTGTATGCCCATACAACTGCAAAATATTTTACCTCTGGCATGCCATTCTTCTGCATTTTTCTTTTTAAATTTGTGAATTGTTTTTGCCAGTCTCTAAAATGTGCAAAGAATTTCTTGTATTCCTTGAAATTTCAGTTAGAATTTTCATTACTGTTTCTTTACAGATTGTTTCAAACATGTAATTGTTTTATTTAGTATTCTTTTTGTCCTGTTCATGAACATGATATATATCTTAAATGTAGAGTATTTCTTCCTTAATTTTATCCATAATAATCTAAAGGATATCTTTTTAATTTTTCTTTAATAACTTTATAATCTTGATACTTTAAATTTATATTGTATTTTCAGCATATTATTTCATTAAAGGGAAAACTATAGATTAATGAAAACTTCATTACATTGCAACATGCACATAAAAATGTATATAACTCATAAATCTAGTAATTATCACAACATGAACAGAAAAGTGTAAACCTCATTTGGATTAAGAAATAATACTGGAGATTCCCAGTGATCCTTTCCTAACCACACTCCTTACCCTACAAAGCATAAGCACCCTCTAGATTTGTAACAGCAAATTTTTGTTCTGCCCCATACTAAACTTTGCAAATGGCATCCATGACAGTCTTTTATGTCTAATTTCTTTAGCTCAAAATAATGCTTGCAATATTTCTTCATGCTTTTCCTCAGGCCTTACCTTATTTTCATTAGCTTATTCTATTTCATTATATGCATAATTATTTGCTAATTTATCTTTATATGATAAAGTTTGAAATTGTTTTTAGTATGTTGGTAATGAGCAGTAGTGCTCCTACAAATTTATAGTAGATACAGTATAAATTGGTGCAAGTATGTGTGCATTTTGTTTGGCACTATCTACAAACATAGATCCTGGATTGTAGATATGCATGTGATTTGTTGGCTGTATACATTAATTTCTGTTACTCCTCATTGTCACTGAAAATTGTGGTATCAGGCAAGCTGCATGATGTGTCTTGCTTCTCGGTCCCAATTTTCTGTGCCAAAAGTAAATCATACACAGTTTCCATCCACCATTATACCCTCAGAATCTGGCACTTGCTTTCCTGTTTTGGAAATGTTTCCTTTACGTGTTTGAGTTTGGCTTATGTCTTCTTCATTTTTGGTTCATATTAACATTGGACTTATCTTTTAAACATCTTAACAGAGAAACGACCAGGAAGTCATGTCTGACTGAAGGAGCTTTTGATCAAGCATGTTTTACAACAGGAATTCCATTTTCATTGTCCCGAAATTCTTTTTACTTGTTTTCTGAAAAGCTACTTCTTTCCTGTTTATGTCTCTACATTTCTTCCTTCACTGACATTTGCATCAGTCTGGATCAAAACAGGAGACAGAAATTCTACAATAATTTAAAGAACAATATAAAGAAGTATTGACTACAATAAGGGACTAAAATAATGAAGCATTGATTAACTTGCTGTGACAAATATAGGAAGAGCAAATTTATGACAGCACAGTACATTATAATTTAATAGCCACTATACCTATGGGAAAGACAGAGCCTCCAAGGAAAAGTTTTCTCTGGCCCCAGAAGTGATAGCCAGGCTTTTGTTGGAGAGAACAAAGCTGTGACTCATTGAACAGCAGAGAAATTGCTGTGGTGCTGGCAAATCTTGTAGGAAATTCATTCTCTTGGCTAAAAGGAAATGCTGTTCACAGGGAGATGCCTCATCGGAGATGCTCTGTATAAAAGGAGTTAATGGCATTGCTGGCAGAGCAGTCTGGTCGTGGGTGATGCCATCTACCTTGGATTATAGCATCCAGTTGCTAGGACAACTGTGCACTGAAGAAGGAGGATACAGGAGAAGATTTGGTGCTGCAGGAGGTGATCAAGGCAGGGCCAGCAGTGCAGGGAGCCAAGCCACTTCCTGCTGCATCTTCCCAGCCACCTTGACCAACAAGGCTAACCATGGGAGGAGCTTGTACAGAAAGAAAAAATAATAATAATAAAGTTGAAAGAGTAAGATTTATTTTGACAGGGCATGGCTAGACGAATTTGCAGCTGAAAAGTAAGTCCTTTTTGTGATTCTTCTTCCTTTGTCCAAGCATAGGCAGCACAAAAAACTCCTTCTCCCCTCTCAATTTTTAGCTATTATTTTTATCATTCTTCTCACTGTATGCAAAAGAAATGACTAACTTGCATCCCATTGATTTGGGTATTTACTATCTGTCAATTACTATTCTAACTGCTAAGGAAAGCATGATATTTAAGCAAAAAATACAAATAAAAAAGAAACTATTGACATACAGGTTACAAAAACAAAAGTGCCGTGGAAAGAAGTAAGAAATTAAGACTACAAATTTGGAGAATGCTGTTTTAATTATCAATATGTTATCTGGGAAAACCTGAGAGATTGTAAATTCTGAACTAAGCCCTCAAAGTTGGAAAGCAAAGTAAGGAATTAGACATCTGAAGTGACAGCTTTCTAAGACACGGGAAACTTCATGCGAGAGCATGGCCAGGGTATTGGAGGAATGCTGGAAAGATCAATGTGGCTTGAGTAGGAGGAAGCAAAAAGGAGCAGAAGATGAGCTTGTGGACTAGGTAGGAAACAAAGCACACAAAAGGTGAATGGGTCATAGTAACACTATTGACATTCAGCTGGGATAACAAGCTGTATCGGTTTCCCTGGCAGCCACAATAAAGTACAGTAAATTGAGTGGATTAAAGACTGGAACTGAATTCTTAAAGCTCTGAAATTCATCAGTCTCAGAACCTGGGCAGGCCCATAGTGCCTCCGAGGGCTGCCTGGCTATCTTCCTCTATTGGGTTTTCCTAGGTTCTGATAGAGACCCCCGAGCGTGGCATTGCTGATTTGTGCCTGCACTGCTCCCAGCCCTGTCTCCAGTGGAGTTCTCTCTGTATGTTCCCCTCTCCCTCTATGTGCATCAGCCATTTTTGATTGAGGACTTTTCCTAACCACTATAGCTGCATCTGAACTAATTACATCTGCTGTGGTCCTATTTCCTAACAATGGAATTACTGGAGGGACTGGTGCTATAATCTCACCATATCATTTTTAAGGAATAATTTAATTTAATAGACTTTTACTACATGACATGACAGCAGTTACATCATGTGACTTAATATTTGATTTGATTTGACTTGATATGATTTGATTTGATGCTGAGGATCATACCCAGGGCCTCAAGTGTGCTAGTTAAATGTTTTACCTTTGAGCTAAATCCCCAACTTAAATTTTAAAAACTGTCTTTTTGTCTTCTATGCTTAAAGATGAAAACAAATCAAAATCGGAAGCAAGAAGACACAAATGAGATGGGGACAGATGACACTTTGGAACAAAGAGAATGACAGAGGTGAAGAGAAGAAGTCTTCAGACAGAGTTCAAAGTTCAAACTTACAGAATTTACTAAAAGTTTCAGTATATGCTTAGAAGAGAGTGTTGCAGGTAATTACATTTTGAACTGAGCCAATAGACCCAGGGGATTATTAACTAAGGAAGACAATACTAAAAGTTGTTTTTAAGAGGATAAGTTCTGTTGCACCCAGGGAATCTGAGATATACTTTAAACAGTTTCCATGAGTGTTCCTAGTTTAGATCCATGTCCTGTACAGTTTTGGTATTTCTCTGGTGTTTCATATTTTTACAAAATATCAATATTAGAAATATATGTGTTCCATCTGAGTTCCATAACAAATTGCCAAAAAATGGTTGACTTAACCAAATAGAAAATCATTCTGTTGTAGTTTTAGAGACAAAAAGTCTGAAGTCAAGACTTTGGCAGGGTTGGTCCTTCTGGAAGTTCTGAGAATTTCCTTTTATGTTTCTCTTCCAGCTGCTGGTGGCTGCTGGAGCCAGGATTTCTTGATTTGGGGGAGTGGGGGCATCATTCCTATTTCAGCCTGCACTTTCTTCTCACCTTCTTTTCTTTGTGTACATCCCCTGCTGTTCTCCCCTAAAGGCACATTGAGTTTAGAGCCACTCCAAATCCAAATCGCACTTAAACGTGCTATGCCAGTTAATCTTCATTGTCACCTTAACTGAACCAGGACTCCTGAAGAGGTGTCTATCACAGGAGTCCTACACTCATCAGAGGGTGAATACACAGGATGTCACAGCTGATCTGCTGCTGTTAGGTGGTGGGGCCCAGGTGGAGGGAGTGGGACACTGGCCACACACTTGGGGGGCATGTGTCTCCCTGTTGGGCTCTTCTGCTGTGCCCTGCTTTCTAGCTTTATTCCCCCGCCCACATCCTTCTGCCATGATGTCCCACCCTGGAGCCCCCTGACTATGAACTGCAAGCTCTGAAATCGTAACAGAATAAATATCTCCTTCTGTAAATCAGAGGAAAACTTGACTAATGTCTTGTTATGTCATATGTGTGTGAGTGAGTGTGTGTGTGTGTGTGTGTGTGTGTGTGTGTGTTACTGAGCACTGACCTACCCAGTGTCTTCATGATGAATGATGAGCCCACTTTTTAAATTTTTTTATATTTATTTTTAGTTTTAGGACAGGGTTATGTTATGTTGCTAAATTATCCAGACTGGGCTCTAATTTGTGGTGCTCCTGTGTCAGTCTCTCGGAATACTGGGATGACAGGCAGGTGCCCACCATGACTAGGGTCAAGACTTTTTAACAATAAGTTTGCATTCAAAGGTTCTAGATTGCTAGATCATTTTAGAGGCATTGCAGAGAGATGGCCATTCCAGCCACCACACATGATAATGTTAAATAAGCTAGGGTTGGTAAAACCCCAGGTTGTGCTTGCAACTTCCATCATAATTTTGGAAGGAGCGCAGATAGCACCTAGAGAGTACACACAGTTCTTGCCTAAATCTTGGCTAAATCTAAGAGGAGAATGGTAGTTATTGTCACTCTTTGTTTTTATAATTTTTGCAGTTACAGAAACCCAATGTTTCCCCTTTCAAGGATTGCAGGCAGGGCACTTACTCATACAATTGTGTGGATAACAGTACATCCCTCCCTCTGATCGGTGATGCTGGGAAAGATTTCAAGCTGGACATGTATGGCATGACTTTTACCTGCAAGACACAAAGGACTCCAGACCTATACTCCAGGCCCTATAAGAAGAAAGTGTAGGCAAATTGACTGCAACAAATAGAAGCAGAGAATTTGTGCTTCTCAATATAGAGACTAATTTGAATATACTTGCTATAATGATTTTATGAACAAAATTATAAGTATTTTAAAAGTACTATTTTTGCGTTTGATAATGCAGTAATGAACTCCAATAGGTGAAAGTGATTGTTTCAATCAAAATTTTACCACTGGATTGACTCCTTTTCAGAAAGTTGATAACAAACACTCAACTATGTGTTCAATTTTATTTTCCTTATAGTATATGGGTGCCATTATATCCTGTTAGTATCTAACTTGTTACAAACCTGACTTCCTGTGACCTAAGTGTATTTGGAAATAAGGCCTTTTGAGAGTAAGTTAGACCAGATCATAAGCATGAGTCCTCATGCAATAGGTTAGCAGCCTGATAAGAAGTGCAATATGGACACTCTACTCCCTTGAGAAAGTCACAGAGGAAAGGCCCCATGAGGGGACTGCAAGATGGCCGTTAGGTAGAGGATGGGCAGAGGACCTCACTGGAACCTGATTGCACTGATGCCTGAATCTTGGAAATTTTGCACAATATCTAGAACTATAAAAAGAAATCTGTGTTTTCAAACCACTTAGTCTAGGGTATTCCTTACAGCTGCCCAAACTTTCAAAGAAAATGTGCCAAGGTGATCTCACTGAGCTCAGGAAAATCAGAAGACAAATATCAAGTTCAAACATTTATAGTTAACTTTAAAGATTTTGCCCAGTGATAATGGCTTAATATATGCAATGGCTTAAACTATATTTAACCACTTTCTGAAGCTTGAGTTCTCGTTCAGCTAAAATTGCTTTACTAAAAATTTTGGTTGTCTTAGAATTTGAATTTTCTTATGCATACATGAGAAATGAAGTTATAGGTCCATTAATAGAAGTACCTCACAGTTAGAGGAGTCTAGTTTTATATCAAAGATATTATATGCAAAAATGTAAAAACAGCTAATTACAGTAACAACTTGATTTTTCTCCCATTCTATTTATTCACTGGAAGTTAAACTTGTAGACATTTGTACTGATCCAGTGAAATATCTGACAAAATTGGAATTACTGTTTACTTTTGTTCTCCAAAGTCCCAATTCATATGTAATTTATGTGACTACAGTAACATTAAAAGCTCATGGTGGTCTTGAGGAAGCAGGTGAGAGGGCTGCAGAATGTAGGGAGAATCCTAGGCTGGGCTTAAAACCAGGATGTCAATGGCACATAGCTGGAAATTTAGACCATAAAACATGACTCTTTTCTTTGACTCTGAAAAGATAAACCTTAATGAATGCTGGTTATGCCCATGTTTTCTGAGACAGTTCATGTATAAAGAATATTCTATGTAAAGTTGCAGTGTTTTCTTCTCCAAAAAGCTTTTGCGACGTTAAGACTTCCATTTGTTAACGTTACACAAGTGAAGAGTTTAATGTTTCATTTATTTTTTCTCTAACTCCTTAAGATCGTTGCTTGCATAGGGTACTAAAGACAAATTCACACATATACATTAACACACAAACCCACATCACCCACAAATATAGTCATATATACAGTTTTCACAAAAATTCATAATGAATAAATGTGATAGGTACTAAATCTATGACATAAAAATATTTTTCACTAAAAATCACAATCTGTAGAAATGAAATATTTGTATACTAAATAATAAAATATTTGTAAAAAAATCTAGATTTCTTGGCTTGGTAGCATTTCATACGCTTCTAAAATTGTGAGACCCTTACTTCATTCTGTTAATCTTATAAAAGAAAAAGCAATTCAAGGACTGAAACCTTTACATATTTTGCTTGTTTTGTAACTTTCTTGGTATAATCATAAAGTTCTTACAAAGGAAAATTTAGCTAGAGATTCCAACTCCAGAAACCAGGTTCTTATAAGCATTTAAAAATCTGCAAGAAAGAAAAATTCCTATTCTTGGGGCTGAGAAGGGCGGGTCCATTTTGAACTCCTGGAGTTCTCTTTTCTTTGTGATCTGTGTCTGGAGCCATCTGTTTGGATTTGATGCCAGTCAGCAGTGGAAGAGCTACTTCTCTGTTCTTGTTTTCTTTTCTATGAAAGCATATTAAAGTTTTATTGCCAGGCATGGCATTCTATAATGAGGTGACCCTATACTATGAAAGTGCATAATTAAACATTTCATGACTCTGGCTTCTCAGTCGCATCATGGTTTTAAACAAACAAAAAGGAAAGGACATGTATGAAGAAAGAACTTAGCTGGTAAGACTTCTTTAAGGGAAAATTCATATTATTAATGATGGCTACCATAATCTGTGCTTTCTCAAATGTCTCCTAGACCTGCAGCAGGTCGAGTTGAATTAACTCCTTTTCTTGACTCTGAGTAATGCTGTGACTCATGTGAAACAAATAGAAAGTGGCAAAAAGGATGCTATATATTTTTGACAGCTTGTCATTAAAAGCAATGAAGTCACTTTGTTATCTGGGAAACAATTCTGGAGTTCACCTCATGATGTATAAAATTCAGTTACCTTGGGGCGACCAGAGATAAAATTATGTGTCTGCCCAAGTGTGGTTCCAGTTAATAGCTGGTACCAACAGGTAGATGACTAGAAACCCTTCTAGGTGATGCATACAATGCATACAATGACCAAGTCACTTTCTAACTTTAAATGTTCCTAAAATGGGTCGCAGGTACCACAGAATGGAGAAAAACCACCTTGCTATGCTGTGTGTGTGTTTCTGAAATGCAGAATCTATACACCAAGCTTTAAAATGATGTGATACACAGAAGCAGCAACCAAATGGCACATATTTGTTTCAGAGAGGCAGAGACTGTGTGAAGTGTGCCCAAAATGCCTGCACCACAAATGCATTTGCTACAGCAGGGGTACCCAAGACACATACAGCAGAGTGGAAGACACCAGGACTCAGGAGGCAGTGAATTTTCCCACTGATGGTAAAGGCTGTAAGATCATTTCCTAGGAAGCAGAGGCACAGTGAGTGTAGGAAATATCTACAGATGACCTTTCTATGTCTTTCAAAGACTTCCAGGGAGGAGAAAGAACCCTGTGATTATGTCTTAGTGTGAGGCTGAGATACAAATGTTGGCTGAAGAAGAGGCCTCAGTCACCTCAAGGGATCTTTGGTTAGAAGAGCAGAGTGAGAGACAGTTGAGGAGACATGGAAACTCTCCAGGAGAGTTGAAGATGTTTTAAACATTTGCAAGGCCCAGAGAGTTAGAAGCCCCATTACAGCAGTACATGCAAGTCAAGACTTTTGTTTTTCTCTTTCCTTGTTTCCCTTCAAAAATTTTGTTAGGTAAGAGATCAAAGAAAAAAAGAAACATAACAAATAAAACAGACCCTTATAGAAAAAGGAGATACAACCTTGTGGAAATGCATTTAACTTATAATAACAGGGCAGAAGGTGGACTATATGGTGTCATGCACAGATGAGCTTGAAGAAGCCCTATTTTATTTAATTTTTCCTTTCTAAAAATTAAATATTTAGTAGGACCATCTCCAAAAGCCAGTACAGAGAAGACACTGTACAGGTTTGAGGAGAAAGTAAAAGCAGTAAAATAGTCACCAGAAAGAATGATTGAAGGAGTGAACAGATTACTGACTGGATTAATAGTTGATGTGAGGTTGGTGGTCAACAATTTAAAGTGATTAAGGTATCATGGGGTCGGGTCCTCATTTCCATGCGTGCTCGCTGTTAGATGTGTTGGCTAGAGAGACCTTGATACCTGCAAAAGGGAGTGATTTTAATCAGGACTTTGAAATTCAAGCTGGTTGATGAGAAAAGTGAGATGAGCCACTGCAAAGTAATGGAGAAAGACCAACAGGAGGAAGACTGGACTTTCTGCTAGAGTAGAAGACCAGTTGGAGTGGGGAATGGAAGAAAGGTGAGCTGGAAACACAGCAGATGGTCATTCTCCTAATTTCACAGGTCAGTGGTATATCTGAAGTTTAAAAACATCATTTTCACATAATTAGGAAATCCAAAGAATCAGAAATTACTGAGTTAGGTCTTCAAGCTCTTTGTATCTCGTATCCCACGTGTCACATACTTGCATTATGTTGACCATAGAGGCATTTAGAGAAAAATTCTTCAACACCTAAAATATTTTTCAAATTTACATTACATTTAAAATACAATTTTATTCTATCTACTATGTTTGCTTTTGATGAACAATTTTATTCTAACCAACCTACTGGTATTAAATAAACTGTTTTGATGAGAATGTTCATTTTGGA